AATAACTAAGTAAGAGGATGAAAGGCTAAGAGTGAAGGGGCTGGCCAGCAGGTGGGGTAAGCAGACACGCATCTTGAGCATTATAAGCAAAGCGCAGCAAGGACCGCAATCAATATTTTATCAAAGCAAATGCGCTGCAAAGCAAAAAAAAAAAGGATAATAATAAGAAGAAGACCAAGATGATGCACAAGTAGAGGAAGAAGAAGCTGACGCATTGGAATTAGAAGTCGCAGAAGAGCCACAAAGAGAAACTGAGAACTTGAAAGAGAGTTTTTATGGAGCACTGTCTAAGCCGTCGAAACAACACCAAAGATTGAACTGGCCAAAAGGAAAGGCTCGAGTGAAGAAGTGGTAGTGGGGGAGGGGGGTTGTGAGAGCGCAGGGGCTATTTACTATTCATGCTAAGCCATGGCGTGTGCAAAAGAAAACGGCAAACAATGAAAAGCAAAGCACATGAAAAGCCAGACCAAGGCACGAGCATGAATAATAAAAGAATCAGCGCCCATGAAAATGCTAGCTCAAGGCAAGAAAACCGATGTATATATGACCCACGGGAACCAAACAGGAGAAAGAAAGAAGGATAGGTGGTAGAGAGAGGAGAGAGGACAGTTGGACAAACTTTCATTAAGCTACTTCAACAGATTCGTTTAATAATTGATTGAAAACGCAGTCTGCCAAATGTCATCAATCATAAGTATTGCAATCAATTAATTTGGCTCTGGCTTATTGCCAGGCAACTGGCCCAGGAACAATTCCACTACGCTGTAAAGGACCTTTGCATTTCAATTTCAAATGAGGTTCGAGTCAATTGCATGGCTGACCAGTTTGCTGGTCATGTTTTCAACTGTTTACAGCGGAAATGTTTCTGTGTGGGCGGTGAATGTCGGAGGAGATGGGGCGGGAGGGGGGGGGGGGGGGGTCGGGGTGTCAACGGTGTTAGCAATTTGCCAAAAAGGCTGCTAAATGGAAATTTGCCCAACACTTGAGTTGGGCGCGTGTCAAATTAACGCTCGTGACACGATTTAACTGGAGTCGCAGCTCGTGTTAGCAGAACGCGTGTTTGTATTATGCACAAAAACAGGAAGGCAACCAAAAAACACGAACTGACACGAGGCAACACGAAACAAAATAACTTGGCGTGGCTCAACAACGAAGATAACAATTGCGACACGATTTAGCTTGTCTTATCAGAATGCGTGTTTGTATTCGGCACAACAAAAGTAAAGCAGCCACAAAACACAAATTGACACGAGTTTGCACTAGCTAACACGAGGCAATACGCTTCAACAAGAGTCAACATAACTAAGCACTTGACACGCGCCCATCTCTAGCGAAGTAGCCCGTACGCCAGTTGGGCCTTCCATGTGTCTTGACTGTCACTTGCAGCACATAACAAAGTGTCAATAAACGTATTTGGCCAAAAAAAAAGAAGGTATGCAGCAGCAGCAGCAGAGGCAGTTGCAGCAAAAGAACAGGCAAAACTGCTTCTCAAAATATGTGCCCTACACAATGCTCAGCCAGAGCCTGTGGCTCATGTTTGTTGTCTCGGCTACCGTTTCGGGCCAACTTGATTAAGCTCTTGCCAAAAGGTGTTAGCAGGCACTTGCCACGTCTCTCTCTCTCTCTCTTTCTCTTTGTGTTCGTGTGTGTGTGCGTATGAAACATGGCCAAAATGAGTTCTGTTTGTGAATCCTGTGAAGCAGCATGTGATTTGTTCCTGCCAACTAATGGGTATGCAGTAATTGCATTTCAAAGTTGTAATATCTATATGACTACGATTGGGCTCATTCAGCGGGGAGTCTGTAGTGCTAGAAAAGTCAAATTTGTAAGCGTACCTTAATAATAATGACATTTAGTTATAACATCAAAGGCTACAATTTCATAGTAAATACGGGGAAAACTTTTCCAACGGATTAAGCTTACTTTTTTGTTGAGCGGACCTTAAAAAAAGAATCTTTAATGTTAGAATATCAAAGGTTGAACTGCGTGGTATATACAGTAAAAACCAACGTACAGTCATTTTAAGCCGAGACTTTTCTAAAGCGGACTTAAATTACCCACTGTCTGCCCAAGATTATTTTGTCATTGATTTTGATACTGTCAAAGTCTATAAATTATGATAATAAAAAATGTAATATAATATGATATCCATTCAAGAGAGTTTCCACTGTAATCTAATTTCCATAAGATATAATATAAATTATTAAAACATTTTGTGTTATCTGACAAATATGATTAATATTTCAAAATGGAAAGGTAGCCAAATCAGCAATAGTGTATAATATAATATGATTATATTATATACAACTATATTATAGTAACTTCTAATAAATTATAATATAATATAATAATATTATAATATAACATTTCTTAATTAGAATATACCATATATAACATAAAGGTATACATAGGTATACATATTTGGATTAGAATAATATTGTTTTGCTCAGAAAAAGCGTAAAGCTACGCTTTACTTGTAATTATGCTCTATGCCTTGTAATTATGCTAGTAAATAATTTCTATATTTGTATATAATCAACCAGTTATTTCTTTTCTAAAAGTAACTGTTGCTGCTGCTACTACTGCTGCTGCTCCTACTGCTGTCAGAAGCAGCAGTCGTAGTCGTAGTCGTAGTCGTAGTCGTAGCGCTGCCCAGTACCGATTTGTTGACCTGACCGCAAAAGTTTTTAAGCCCATTTCACTTGAAAATTATAACTGGCAGTCAGCTGCTAAGCTGAAGTGAAATTGCAGCGCCAACTAACCACATACTGCACGGCAAACTATCCATGCATACTCATGCACTCACACAGATACACACATGCTCACACTTACACACTGATAGAGGGCCAAAATTTGTCGAGAGCTCGGCCCAAAAAAGTAGGCTAATGCCACTTTCGAGTAGTTGGCCGCAGAGTCGCAGTGAAGTGTGGCTGCAAGTGCACTTGTTACCAATTAAGCTAATCCGTCAGATAATTAGTAACATAACACACACACACACACACTAGCACACACAAACACACTCAGCCACTATGCTGGCAGCTCTTGTTGCTGCTGCTGCTGCTGCTGCCTCGGCACATGCAATTTATAGCTGCACGTGGTTGTTGCATTGCATGTATCACGTGACACTTGATTTCCGGCGCAGTTCCCAGTTCGCTTTGCCGGCCCCTCTCCCCCGCTTTCGCCCGCTTTCTGCACCCCTCTGCTCCTGTCCTGCTCTGGCATTTCTCTTGCTCTGCAGGCAGCCTGTTTGCTTTGCTTTTCTTTGCGACTTTTCTAATTTGGACTCTGGCACAACATGCAACCAAGTCGTCGTCCGTCGTCGCCGTCGCGAAAATTTGTGGCTGGCACCTTATTAAAAGCGCCCAGCAGCTGAGCCTGAGCTGGAGCTGGAGCGGGAGCTGGCAGTCTCCCGACCTTTAGCGTTGACAACGTAGCCACATCCTAAAACTGATTCTCATCCGGGGCTCGCTCGCTTCGTCTTCGTCAACTGCAGTTGCAAATTGGCTGGCAAATGCCGTTGCCTGCTTTTAGGCTGGCTTATTAAAATTTCAGCGTGTTCATTTGCCAGTAAGTCAGCGGCTGCAGAGGGGGGCGCGTTGTAAACTAGGCGACTTTCGGGATTACCCAACAACTAGTTAATGTTTGATTTGCCTGCCAGTCAGCCCGCCAGCCCGACTGTGCGACACACATGGCTGCATTTCGGTACCATGCCCTTTATCCACAACACCCCAAACAGTCTACCCTACCTAGCGGTAGGGCCCTCCCCACTTGAGCCTGTCGGAAAGTTTTCACTACCTCTAATCTGTGTTGCCAACCTCAAGCTGTCAAAATTTGCCAGCGAACTTGCGCAGCCTTTTAGCTTGAAGCTGTGGTCATATATTGAAAATATTTATTACTTTTTGTGGCATTAAATGAATTATAAGAATTTGTTAAGCAGCGAGCGTGAAAATTAAGCATCTTAATAATTTATATTTACTTTATATATAAAATATATTACGCACATTATTTAAATATATATGATATCATAAACATATATATTCATAACTATATATATTAATATACGTAAAATCATATATATATATATATTAATTTATATTTGTCATGAAAATTATTAATTTGAAATCAAAAATCAGCCAATACATTAAAGATAACTAAAAGTTAACTCAGCTGTAAACGAGCGTACATTTATTTTTCATTATTAATTTTTGCATATTTTCTGTCAACAATTTTGGCATTTTTAATTATAATATGAAATCATATTCGAAAACTGATTAATAAAAAGGAATATGTCAATGCTAGTTTTATGCATGTCTCAATTACAGCACAAAATAATTTTGAATTTGCAGAATATTGTATAATTGTGTTACGCAATGCATTTTGTTGGCATTGACGAATATCTATACACTTGTAGGGGGTATTATAATATTGTCATGAAATATGTCATGTATAGAAGGACAGATCGGACTTCATAAAGTGTGTATATAAGTTTCACAAAATCTTATTATCATCGGACCACTATATTATATGGCTGCAATAGGAACGATCGGGTGAAAAGTAGGTTCTCCTTCTCTTTAAAAAAGCTTCTTTTTTTAGGTAGATAGCTTGACCAAACTATGTCAAAATGTCATAAATTGAATTCTTGCATGGAAATCTTATTTTGTTATCAAGAAAAGCTTGACTTACCTCTGTATTTACTATTTAAACTGAGCATCATTCAGCATTTAGAAGCTTCACTATTCTCATATAGCTGCAAACCCGTAAGGAAAATGTCTAGAAGGGTATCAAATCTTCGGCTTGCCTAAGATATTCTTACTTTCTCGTTATTATTTCGGCTCCATAATTTTATTTATTAAGCAGAAGCTGTGGATATATTTTTGCTGCTTTCACCAAAGCTGATTGTGGACTAAAATAGCTAAAGGGAAAAATTAAATTATAGATTATCTCTTATCATACACAATAAACAGATAACTACAGCATTTTTTATCAACAATTTTTTACAGACATACAGCGATATCTAAAGCAGGATTTTGTCAAATTTGCATATAATTAAAAGCGTTTTACTGTATCGAATAACACATGGGTAAGTACGATTGAAAGTTTTTTGGCCTTGCTATTTTTACCTGGGATAATTATTTTTTCACTCGACATATAGCATAATATGCCATAAGAACGGCATTATTTCATTTTCATTTATAAACCATTTCGTTGAGCATCCTCACTATTATAATGCTCTCCCCATCCACCATTCTGATTGAGCTAAAAAATAAAAGAACATTGCTCTAATTTGTTTCTAAGTGCGGCAATCTTCAGCAGCAAGAAAAACAACAACAATGCCGAACTCTAATGGCTAATTAAATCGCTTGAATTACAAGCCAACAATATTAAAATATTACAAAATAAAACTTTTTCTGCGGCCTCTCGCTGAGATTTAGCATTTGCGATATTAACCCCCCGTCCTGCGCCTCGCCTTGGCCCGCGCAAATGCCAAAATGTTAGCCCAATGCCTCCAATGAGGCCGAAGCCAAAAATATTCAACGAAAACTTTTCACATTAAATAAAATACAAAATGCCCATTAACAGTTCGAGTGGATAAACTCGGTTTGCATTTCCACACACCGCCCACACATAGACGCCCACATATACAGCAAGCACAACACACACCCATACACACACCCTCTCACATAGGGGGGCGTTTCGCAAACAAAAATTGAATTTCGTTTCGAGGCTCAAAACTCAAAATCGCGCGCGTTGTTAGGGGTAGATTTGATGAGACGAAGGGGGAGGGTGCGGGCCGCAGGCGTAGCTGTTCGGAGCCCCAAAATGATGGCAAGCGTCGAAGGCGCATTGTTGTTGTCATGTATTGTTATTGTTATTGTTGTTGTTGTTGTTGTTGTTGTTGTTGTTGTTGTTGTTGTTGTTGTTGTTGTTGTTGTCGTCGTCGTAGCTGGTATGGCATACAATAAAATACGAACGAACGACAACAAAGAAGTACAAATTAAATCCCAATTGGAGTTGACCGCAAAATGGAAAAGACCACAAAATTATAACCACAACGATGTGGGTGGCGAGCAGGGTGTAGGAGGGTTGGGGGCATGCAACAACTTGGCAGCACTGCCAAAGGGGCTGACGATATTGTGGAAGGTATCCCCTGTCCGTCGCACAGCAAATCGAGGCAGCAGATAAGCAGCGCCAACTTGTGTTTTGTTTGAGGGCGTTGTGGCGCGCTTGGGGCACAATTATTGCTGGCGCTGGGCGCATTGCTTACACCCCCACTCCACTTACCTGGCCCCCCAACGCTCTGTTTCGCTCTCTTACACATAGTTGGTAACGTGGTCTTATTTTGGCAATTGATCTGGTAATCGAAGCAAGGCACAAGGCTCACATTTAGTTTTTGGCTAGGCCAAGCCAGGCGAAATTGATATTTATATTTAACGTAAGCCAACAATAAGCCAGGCCAATCACACACACGCGCACACTCTCACACAATAGTAATGTACACAGGGCGTATGCTTAATGTGGCCAAGTGACTGGCGGATTTCCTTTTGTGCAGCATTCAGCCTCGATTGTAGCCAGTTATCTATTAATAGAACGTTTCTGCAACGGGTAACATGGGCCAAATGGGCCGCGCTGAAGGTTAAGTTAGGCCAACAATTTGTATAGGAATCTTCTATAAACAGTACAAGACATGAGAGTTAGATTCAAATAAAATAAGGGAAAATAACAATTGGGTTATTGGTTCAATAAAATAATATTGATATACATATTTATATTAAAGTAACAAAAAATAATATAACCTCAATCATTATAATTATAACTTAAAGGCATCAGATTGAATTTTTAAGAAAAAAATAAATTAAATAATATAAATGGATAGAAATATTTATTTTAATAAAGAGAAAGTATCAATAAGCATTATATTTTTATATATTAAATTAACAACAAATAACAACCTGAATATATATCTTAATAAATAAATTAACAGCTATTAGACTTAATTTTTAAAGCAGCTGTTGAGAATCAAAGTCAGAACCACTTTTGAGCTAGTTCTTAAATACTACTTTAAATCTCAAAAGTTATCATTTGTAATTGTCGCATAGCAAAATTGATTTCTTTGGCTAAAGTAAAGTTTTGCCAAGCACAGTTTACACAGGGCACAAAAGAGTCGAACCCTTTCCATTATAATTATAATCAGTTATTTACAGTCCGTGTGTATCTTTAACTGGGCGTTGCGTGTTCCACATTATAATTAGCCAACAACAACAGAGGCAACAACAACAGCAACAATAACAATGACAACAATTGCAATGGTTGGTCTCGTATGGCCACGTCAAAGTTTGGCCTATAAATCGTAGCGCCAAAATTTAAATTAAAACCAAATAAATTAAACGCCTTTCATTGAAGATTAATGGCCTTAAAGCAGCCGCATTCTGTGGATGCTGTGTACTGTGGACTGAGTGGGTGGTCGGTGGGCGTGGTGAGGGGCGCTGCCTGCGCCTGCCTGCAGCGTCTCGCTTTGTACGCTTGACTGCGAATTTTATGGTTGATGGATTTTCAGCTTTGGCGCGCGAAGGTTCCATAGTGCACAGCCGGAGCTGGAGCAGAACCCACAGCCCGAACCGGAGCTAGAGCTGGAGCCAGATCTCCAGTGCCAAAAGGCACAAATGGCTTAAGCTGCGGCAATGGCAGCTACCATCATTTTGGCTGGCTTTAAGGCCAACTATTTTAGCTTTGCCAAAACTTAAAGGTCGCCATTAGAGCACGTGCCTAATTCAATTGCCTTGTCAGCTGAATATTTCCAGCACGTGCCATTAAAGGTTCACATGAAAGCAAATAATTCGATTGCTAAAACAAATGCATTCGAAGTTCCATGTTAGAATTATATTAGAACTATTCGAACTGTTTTGTGTGCTTTAAGAGTCTACAAATGTTGGGAAATGGGCCGGACTTTAACGAGATGGGCGGTGATGCCAATATTACTGCCGTAGCCAGATCTTTTTTTAGAGGATATTATAATTTTGTTATGAGGTGTGTAACGCATTGAAGGAGCCATCGCCGAGCCCATAAAGTACATATATTCTAGATCAACATCAACAGCCGAGTACATATAGCCATGTGTGACTTCTGTCTATCTATCCATCCGTCTTTCTATGCGATCTACTCTCTCAGTTATAAGCTATTGTCTTGAAGCTTTCGATCTTTCTGTTCCAGGCAGTCCATATGTCGGAACCGGCCGAATCAGACCCCTGTATCATATAGTTGCCAAGTGAACAGTCTAAAAGTAGTTAACTGTATGGCAGAATGTATTGTATATAAAGATATCTTGACCAAACTAATATTTACCTTTTAAACTATGCTGCTTATATATGAGCCAAATATGATCAAGACCGCACTATCATTCAATATAGTTCTATAGATTGAAAAATTAATTGATATTTAGGAAAATATTCTGTTTTCCAAAATATTCCCATCAAACTCAGCATTCACGAATTTCACTATTCTTACATATCTGCAAAAGCGTAAGAAAAATGCGTGGCAGGGTTTTAAATTTTAAGCGTGTCGAAGATAATTTTACTTGTTCGTCTTTTTTTATAGAACTTTAATCTTTATGAAAATTGTTGTATAGTAAATACATGTGCCAGGCCCATCTTCAGTGACGACTGCTCAAAATAGATAGTCGAACTTTTACATGTTGCTCCATTGTCTTATTTAAGTGCCTAAATCAATTCGTTGTTTGGATTTGCATTTTTTTGTATATTAATACAATATTTGTGTTTACTTATTTATTTTTATTTATTTGTATGTACCTTAAAAAGCATTTCAATTTAAATTGATTTGCGCTGAAGACAATGCACATGTTTTGTTTAGTTTAACAACTTTTCACAATACTTGTTTTCGAATTGCACACAACTTGCCCCGAGCCATATTCATTTTTATATAAATTTAAACTAGATCCATTTGCATATTTCACACAGTAAGCGCTTATTTATAGAAATCGAGCACAAAATTTATAGAATTCAAATGTAGCCTTGTATATTTTTGGAATATTTGAAGAGCTCTTTATTCATTTACCAAAATCTAGAGCGTAAACAGCTTGCGACATAATATTTATCATCATTAATCAGCATAGAGTACAAAGTTCTCTCTCTCTCTCTTTCTCTTGAAATATGAAGTTTGAGCCCGAAGATGGCAGCGATAATCTCTGCAAATCGCTTGAGTTTTTACTAGAGTTATGTCTATGGGCGAAAAGTGGGTTAAATTGTTGTTGTTGTTGTTGTTGCCGCATCTTGAGCTCCTTGGCACTCCCAGCTGGAGGAGCAGCTGCTGCCACATGCTTGCAAATTGTCAAGTTGCGGTTGCGCTTTAAATTATGCAGCCGGGGGAGGGTTGGCAGGATGCGGCACAAGCAGCAGCAGCCTGGCTGGCATCCTTTAACATAACAGTTGCAAAATTTTGAGAGCTGCAAGCAGCTGAATTTATATGCAGCTTAGTTGCAACCCAAAAATTCTACAAATTTTAATAATAATGAGCAGTACACACACACACACAGCTGGGCGTGTTTGCGTGTGTGTGTGTGTGTGTGTGTTGCTTTATTATTTTAGCAGCACATGTCTACACACACGCTCGCACACACACACATACACACATTGTTCAGCTAAAAATTGGATTGCAGCTGACGCTTGGCAAAGGCAAAGCTACAAAAAAAAAGAATGCAACTACCCGCTGCCGCCCCTTTGCCACCCACATGCCAACATAATAATATTATGTTGCAGCTGCCAAGGCGCAGAGATCGTTGCTGCAACTGTTTGTTTAGCCGAGAGCAGAGAGCAGGGGTGCAGTCAGTGCGGAGGGGGAGTGGACGGGGGGTACGCTGTGTGCTCGCAGAAGGACGACTGCAGCCTGACTGCTGCTGCTGCTGGTAAGGACAACACGATATGTATGTGGCGACGTGTGGTCGCAAATGATATTAACAATTCATTAATTAACCTCGTTTCGTTTGGGTTATGATGAGAAGGACAACGGCAACGACGACGGCAGCGGCGGCGGCAGAAGGACGACTGCACCTGAGCAGCACAATGTCCA